TTATCTTGAAGTTTGTCATTTGGGGTCTTTTCCTTTCATTTATCTTTGGGTTTGGCAGTATAATTCACTTTATGATCATGTTTCCCCAGTATGTCTGCCAGAATGCCTCTTCTTCATTCTTCAGGGTCTCTTTGCTCTCCCCAGGGTGAAAAAGGGCTGGAAATTCAGGAGAAAACTGCTACTGGATGGCAGTGGAGGAGAGGTCAGGCCAAACACATCCCACAGCAGGCATCCACAAGGGGAGAGTTTGAGCATCCTGCCCTCCTGGCCACAGACTGAGGAGGGGACAATGGACTAATTTCTTCCCACTGGCCTCACCACAAATCCCACTCCTTTTACTCACAGTTTCCCCAGGTTTATAGAAAGAAAAACAATCTGATTTTTTCAGTAGCATTCCAGTGCAACAAGCAATTGAGTGAAGATTTAAATCATATTTCAATTCATTGCAAAAATGTGCACTCCATGTGGCTTTTCACCAGCTCAATTTGATTCCCACAAAATATTTTGATCCTGCAATTTACCAATTTTTAGGACTTTGTTCTCCTTGAATCTCAGGGGATTACGTGCCAGAATTTGCCTATCCAGTGGGAAGGCAGCTACATTTTAGAGGCAGGCTCATTCTGTGACTGCAGCCTTCATTTTATATGCCTGTTAGCATCATTTATCCAGATCAGAGGTTTTAGAATCACATCCCACTAAGGAAACACCACTATGGAGTGAGCGACACAACCAAATTCACTAAAGGAATAAAAGCAAGGCAAGTAAATTTAGGTCAAGGTGAGTTTATTGTCCATACAGCATACCTAATCCCGCCAAAACACTTTTCTTAGAACCATCTTTAAACTAGTCAAAACAATAGGTTATTAATAAAAATGACAACACTGAACAAAGACCTTTTAAAAGGCAATCATAACTACACCGTATCAGTCTTATCCATCAAAAACAACCTCATGTACTTTCTAAATACTTTTGTTTACACTGATGTCTACTACCACTTTCTAGCATCCCCTGACCACATAAACATCCACACCTCTTAAAGAGCACATTTGTGAGAGAATAATGTTGACTTGATATGGCATCACACTCAATAAAGCAAAAAACCCAACAAAAACAAAAACAAGAAACACAAAAAAAACCCAAAAAAAAAAACAAAACAAAACAAAACAAAAAAAAAAACCAAAAAAAACCCCCCAACCCCAAAAAAAAAAAAAAAAAAAAACAAAAAAAACCCCAAAAAAAAAAACCAGAAAAAAACCCAAAAAAGTCTGAGAACAGAAACTGTGCAACTAAGAGTGATTTCTGAGGTACATGAGAACATGGTAATAAACATAGTGGAAAAAATCCAGTGGCCAGGTAGTCTGCTGAGTAATTAAGACCTGTCCAATTACTCAAGCATAGATCATAGACATTGAATTAATTGGACATGGGATTAATTGGTATTTTTCTCTTTCACAAGCACGTTGGAAATACAAATAAATACATTCTGAGATGCTCCTACACTACAGTAACAGGAAGGAGAAGACCATCGAAGTACCATCAACAGGAAGCTGAGGGAGAAATGCTTTTAGCAACTGTACCAATCCCTTGGCACTTGGGAAGGCAGAATCAGCAACACATTTTCTATTCTTTTTTAATCAATCAATTGGGAGGTTTATGATTTCTTCAATTCAGGGAGAGAAAATCTCACACCTCATTTGCAGTAACAACACACTTCCTTTAACATCTGTTAAAAGTACAAGGCAGTCATTTTATTCGGAAAGTTACTGTGAAAGCACTCAAATTGTAGGGTTTGCAGCCTTCAAACATACAGTATGCTGTAACCAGAGGGTTGGCACTTGTTGAGCATGTCACTGCAGTCAAGGACACTCCTCACACTGGTGGGGACACACACAGACCCACCAGGACCCCGCGGAGACTGGAAATGCTGAATAGTGCTGTCCCTTCCAGCACAGCACACTTCCACCCTGTTGTAGAGCAGCCGACCATGGAGGCCCCTGTCCCTTCAGTTCTGCAGAGGGGTGACACTGGGATCAGCCCTGTGTTCCACGGCAGGGATCACCCCGGTGCTCCACAGCAGGGATCATCCCTGTGATCCTGTGGCTGCTGCGGGACTGTGTGGGAGGACAGAATGTAAGAAAATAAAGATAGTGCAGAAAGTATATCACCCCTAAGGAGTTGCAGCTGGGCCAATTATCAAAGATTAGGAGCAGGCCTGACTTTAACAGGCCACAGCTGTGACCAATGAGAAGAAGAGTGTTATAAAAGAGTAGGTTGGCTACTGTGAAGAAGAAAGAGTCAGTGCTCTGAAGAGCTGCCCATGAAACCACACCGAGAAGGTATGAAGCTTTTGTGATAAAGAGACAACAATATGGAACTTTTGCAATATTATGATAATTGGTGACCCTGTGATTTGGGAAAAAGGACTTAAATACTAAACTATATGACCCTGTGGATTTGGGAAAATACTAAACTATATGACCCTGTGGATTCAGGAAGCAGGACTCAAATACTAAACTGTATGACCATGTGCATTTGGGCAAATACTAAACTATATGACCCCGTGGATTCGGGAAAAAGGACTCAAATACTAAACTGTATGACCCTGTGGATTTGGGAAAAAGGACTTAAATACCAAGCTGTATGGCCCCATGGACTCGGGAAAAGGACTTAAATACTAACTGAAGGAAAAATGAGGTGAAGTATCAAACTGATAGGAAAAAGTGGCTTGAGGAAAAAATGGGTTTCCTATATCAAGTAAAAGAAGCTGAGAACCATTGCAAAAGGGAAAGGAGAAAGAGAACTGCATGAGGAAAAGCAACAAAACTGAAAGAAGGATGGAAGAATTTACTAAAGTAACTGTAAGAACTGGAAAAAGAATAGTTCTATTATTCAGTACAGTGTGTTTATTGATTAGTGAAATATATCAATTGCAGCTATTAATGTTTAAGTATGAGTATAAAAGATTTTGAAGTACTTTGTAAACAGAGAAAAGCTGCAAAACTGAACCAACAAGTAGAAATATATATATTTGTACTGTAATGTTTTTTGAGCATTTGTATAACTATTAGTTCTAAATGAAATATATGAATGTGTCATAATGTTAATTTACTTGAACATGTCTTTCTAGAAATGCTGTAACTCTGTAATTAAAAGAAAAAGGGGGAATTGTGTGGGGATAGAATATAAGAAAAAAATGATAGTGCAGAAAGTAATCTCACCCCTAAGGAGCTGCAGCTGGGCCAATTATCAAAGATTAGGAGCAGGCCTGACTTTAACAGGCCACAGCTGTAACCAATAAGAAGAAGAGTGTTATAAAAGAGTAGGTTGGCTACTTTGTGAGGAACTGGAGTCAGTTGGCTACTGTGAAGAAGAAAGAGTCAGTGCTCTGAAGAGCTGCCCATGAAACCACACCAAGAAGGTATGAAACTTTTGTGATAGCGACAACAATATGGAACTTTTGCGATATTATGACAACAGGACTGGGGTGTGAAGGAAGCTGGATGAAGAGCAGGGCCAGGCACCCTAAACACAGGTTCTGCCTATGCCTGGCCTATGGTACAGAGCAAATCACGCCAACATGGTGCCAGCGGTCAGAGAGGTCACCCCACCATCAGGACCTTCTGGCACAGCTCCCCATAAAGCCATGGAGCAGGGCTGCCAAGGAATGATCTGATCTGCGTGTGGCTCTGCAGTCTTGCTCCAACAATATCAGCTATTTTTTTCCTCCACGACAGAGACACTGCTGCAGAATGCTGGGTGCTTGCAGGACATTGAGGTGGAAGGTGAGGCCAAGGCTGTGCCCAGCAGCAGCTTTGGGAAGAACAGACCTGCTCACCAGTGGAGAGTCAATGCATTTTTTCCACTATGAAAAGGATATCAGAGACCAAAAAGGAGCCAGTGCCCCGCTTTGGCTGCTTGCAACCTCTCCGGGGTGGGCCCCAGGGCAACCAAACTGTCACTGTGTGAGGTATTGTGAAAATGGGAACCATTTCTTGTCCAGCAAACCTGAGGTAAGTATACCATCTTTTCAGGATGTGATCAGGAAGGAAGGAGACTTTTAAAAAAAAAAAAAGGAAGAAGGAAAAAATAAAATAAAATTTAAAAAAAACATGAACACACTATTAGGGGAAAAAAACCTGTACAGGGCATTTCCAGTAAATCAAAGAACTCATCATATCTCCACTTAACCATCTACTTCAGGATTTGAAATTTAAGCAGTAAAATAATATATTATAAAAATGTTTATAAAATAGCAGCACACTCAGTGAAACAATACAGCTAAGTACTGTTAATGTGAATAAGAATGAAACAAATCATAGCTTCTTAGCAGCGCAAAAAAAAAAACCAAAACCAAATAACCCCCCAAAACCAAAAAAACAACAAAACCTTAGAATCTTACTCCATCTTCTACCCTCATCTAGCCAAATAGGCTGAGTCCATACATATAATATTCTTCGAAGTAGCATGTTCTTTCTGGATTTTTGTGTTAAAAATGTGAACATTAACATTTCAACCAACAGCTTCATATTGGATATCTGCAAACTGTTAATACAATTGTGCAAAAAAAAAAAAAAAAAAAAACACCCCACAAACAAAAAAACCCCAGAAAAACAGAACCAAAAAACCCAAAAGTTGCTCCAACTCCTTTGCCATCTAAATGCCTCTTTGTTACAGGTGGAGCAGGAAAATAAATTCAAGTACACTGAATACACCTTTGTAATAAAACTCCAAGTCACACACCTCGATGTTTACCACCATGGCTGTTGCACCAGCAGTTTTCTTTCCTTGTCCATAGATAAACACACAGGTGGTATTAAGATCCTTCTGTGACACTGAACAATACAGATGGTCAGGCTTTTATCCGGAATGTCATGACAGGAATGTCATCTGAAGCAGGTGTTGGTATTTCCAGCAACACCACAGCTAACCGAGTACACCAAATACTGGAAAATATTGACTATAAAAAGCTATACAAAGCCTTACTTTTGTGTCTCCTTTATTTTCCTTTTTTTTCTCCTTTTTTTTTTTTTTTTTTTTTTTTTTTTTTTCCTTGGCAAAATTGTCATAAACCATCTCATTTAATCCCTTAGGAACAATTTTCAAAGTGCTTTTTGAATGAAATGGTTTACAAAAACGCTCACTGTAGATCAATAAAGTTAATGAAATGCTGAAAAAATGTGCAGGGGGAGTGGGGGAAAAGAGAGACAAGGGAGCAAACCAAACCCCATCTTCTTTAACACAGTGAGGGGCTATTACAAGGGAAGATGGACAGAGCATCATTTAAATGTCTTTGTGGCCAAGCTAAGAAACTGCCAGACATTAAGATGGACATGAAGCATTAGCACTGTGTAGGAATATAATGCTTTCCCTAGATGATCCACCACATCTTGCAATCCAAAGGTTGGAGGTGGTCTGCCCAGCCAACAGGTTGGGATTAATGCGTGCATTCCCCCCACTGAGCGTGAACGCTTGGGAACTTTGGCTTGGCCCACAGCTGGGTAAAAGGAATTGCCCTCATGCCAAAGATGCTGCTGTGTTTAGAATTAACCATTTCGGAAGGCAAAGTAGATAAAAAGTCAAGAGGGGCAGAGGGGAAGTTGTGGGGGAAAAAAAAGAAAAATAAATCAACTAAAAAGCCCAAAAGACACCTGCTCTTCTGGCTGGTAAAATAAAGCATCTTTTTCTTAGGTAGCAGCTACCACAGACAGCAAGAGTAAACAAAACTAACATATAGAGATCCAACAAACACTTCTGACTAATAACAGAGGTGACAGATCAGCAAATCTCTTCTGCATTCAAAATGGTTCAATTGCTTCAGGGATCTTTTCCCACTTTGCCCTAAACCCCTTATTCTATTGCTTTGCAATCTAGTCAAGCCATAAAATCGCACACACAATTCCTTTCTTATATCTAAAAAAGGGGTGTATGCACTAGTTCATAATACACAGACAGGTATACTCTACTTTGTTCCCACAAATGCAGGCTTACATTGATCTAGCTACTTTGTATGCTTTTATAAGCATTTAATTTCACTGATACATAATCAAATAGCAATTACCAAATATATCGTGGGATTCCCTTCTGTAGAACATCACAGGTACCAAATGCCTTTTTTTTTCGTTATTTGGTTTTTGTACTTTTTTTTTTGTTTTTCTTTATACCTAAAAGAGCTTTAAATATGTTCTATGTGGGAGCAGATTAAAAAAAAAATTTCACTCTAAAAATAATAACAAAAATAAAGGGTCTGGGGGAGCAAGCGTGACTTTGTGTGCTGACGTCCTCACAGGTTGATGTCTCTCACATCTGTGGGAGTGCTGGCCTGGTCCAGTTCATCCACTGTCTTGGAGGGGTTGCTCTGCTGCTGCTGCTGCTGCCGGACTTGCTGCAGGCTATTCACAAGCACCGCCTCGATCTGTTCCTGACAAGCTTTAAGGCAGTCCTACAGAAAAGAAAGCAAATTTATCTATTAGTAAAGATAAAGGTGGTTATTTTTTCCTTACTGAGCTAGAAGAAGTTGGAAGAGCATCAGTCAGGTGTTTCCAAGAAGTGCCTGCTCTGACACAAATCAACCTTGAATTCTGAGAGGTAATCACTGTGTACAAACTCCCTGGGTCAAACATTGTTCATGCTGTATTTATAAGGTTCTAAATCTTAATATTTTACTGATCTTTGATTGTAGAATCATTTAAGTTGGAAAAGACCTCTGAGATCATTGAGTCCAACCTTTGAGCAAATACCACCTTGACAACCAGAACAATGAGTACCATGTCCCATAATTTTCTGAGCACAAAACTGGTTCGCAGAGACAAACTAAGAACATTCAGGGAAACAGCAGGGTACAGTACAGCAACATAAATATGGGAGCCTGTCCATCAGGAGTCCCACAGTAAACATGAAGTATAAATACAGAAATAAATACGAAGGATTCACCACCATTTAAACCAGACACAGCGATGAAGGGGACTATTAAAATACTTACAGGATGTTCCACACTCTTGATAATACACTGGAAGACCAAATATGTGGTAATTTAACCAGAAAAAAAATGTGAGAAAACCTTGACAAACCCTGAGTTACAGGAGAAACTTAGAAATAAAACCCAAGCTGAGACTGTATGAACACAATGCCAGCCATGTTCAGTGTGCTGGCACTGGGAGTATCAAACTGACACTGTGCAGGGGGACACGTGGTGCTACAAGAGATGGCATTTTCTAAAGGCAACCCTGAGGAGTCCTTCTGGAAAAGGCACTAAAACTAAACTTCCTGGGGCCTCAGCCTGCCTAAGAGCTGGGTGTCTCCAGAAGTCTTCAGGGAATAGAGCAACACAGGGTTTGGTAGGAGGATTTTGACAGCACAGTGTTTTAACCAGAGGCCCCAGAGCATCTGGCTGGGGTGGTGAGACTGAGCATCACCATCCCCACTGTCAGGCGGGGGAGCTGAAGACCAGAATGGGGCACTGACCTCCACAGGGTTCCACAGGCACTTGTCAACCCATTAAAGGATGTGACTGTAACACTGAGGAGCTGGGCCCTGACCAACACACCCCCTTTTTCTACACAGTACCTGGTTATTGGGGAGAGTTTGAAATATTCATACGTGGAGGACTGATTTGTCATCCCAGCTGGTCTGGGAAAAACACATCCGGTGAAGACGATCTGTTCCGCTGGTGACACTGACGTTCGTGATGGGTGCAGTTGGCTTCGGTAGGTAATGAACACCCATTTTTCTTGGCTACTAGCCAGCAGCTGCTGGCTGCAAAATCCTGTCCTCAGATAAAAAAAAATCCCCCATTATCAGCTAGGGAAGGCTTTAGGTCCATTGTAAGCATTCACCTGTGTGTAAGAGGGCAATGACAACAAATCACCGTGTGGGTCAAGGCATTTTCAAGTGTGGGGGCACCAGTTTGGAGACTCTTGTAACAGACAACACTCCTAATGTGCTTTTTTTGGGTGTAAGAACCTTCTGTTTTAAAGCACAGTTTCAAAGTACTGTGTCCTTCTGAAAACAAACCAGATTTTTTTTTAAGCAGCTTCAGTCTGAAAAGCTTAATGAGGCAATTTCCTTGCAGCCAGGCTTGGGGAAGGAAGGGTGGTGACATGCGGAACATGGGGCTCAAGCATTTGGAGTCAGCTTTGTCTGTTCCTAAACACCCTCATGTATGGTCATTTACACCATCACTGTGTAAACTTCTGATAGGCAGTGTGATGATTCATTTCAGGCATGAAGAGGCTGAGATCTCCAGGTAACCCTATAGAGAAATGGGTCATTTCTGGTGTCTTCATTTTGTCTTCATAAAATCTATAAATTGGCCTCTACTGGAATTGTCACATGGATTTTATTTCATATGGGAATCCACAGGCCACTGTGTTTTACTTCTCTGGTCTACACTTTTTGAGCTTAAAAACACCGAATTCTTTAAAACAAAGAAACCTACAAATTACCAGACCACTGCATTCAGCATGAAACAGTTTTCCAAAAAAGTGTTGCTATTTGCATACTAAAGTTCCTTGGATGTTAAATCTCTCAGGTGAAAGGAAAAAAAACCCTAATTTAGAGTATCCTATAAGCCCAGCTGTCACAGTGTGATTAGGTAAGTAAAGATGATGGCATAACTGGAACTTTCTGCCAATACAAAGTTAAGGGACATGATACAAAAAAACTACTAAAAACCCATCAGGACAAACAGCCCAACCTTCCCATGACACAGTATTTTTAACCCCTCCAAGTTTCATGGGAATTTGCTGCACGTGTACATATTTTACTGGTGGACTTTCATTTTGCAAGTGACTCTTGAAGATGGCTCTGACGACAGAGAATGAAGTTTTAAGAACATATCAAAGAAAAAACCCCATGAATGGCATTATTTTCAACAAATCTTCCTTGAAAGAACACTATAATGCACTGCAGTATGACCCCAGATTTTTCAATACAAGGACTAGGCCATTCCCTCAGAATACTGCAGGGTTTGCCTTTGTTGTTTTTATAAAAAACTTTTTAAAGTGTGTGTCACATGGATTAACTTCCCCATTCTTCTATATGGTCTAGTAGTTTTAATGATTAAAATAGTTCTGGTACTTTCCATTCCATAGTTTTATTTATACTTCAGCATGTACAGAACTAAAAAGGCAATTAACTGTGGGGTTTCTTTTTTTTTTTTTCATTCTGAAATTCTTTCATCCCTAGGTGATTTTACTAGCACGTTTGAAAAGCATTTGAAGGAAAAGAAAACTCTCCTGTGTCTGAGGAGGGGCAGCCTCATGGCTATGATAGAAATGCTGGCAGTGAAAATAACTGGAAGGAACAATCAGCAGCTCTATGGCATGAGCTACTTATTCAAGTCAATAATCATTGAAGATTTCAATTTCCATTCATGACAATCTTGAAAGAAAGCACAAACCCTATTCTGCAGAATATTACACATAATTCACTTTCTTGAACTTTTCAACATTTCTGTGGTATATGTATGTCCTATACTGGCCTCCAGCTTCCAGTGTTAAACTGGCATTTATGGTTCATTGGCAAGCTATGAGGGAAGGCCTGCCACTCAACCCAACTCAAGTAAACCAACAGGCTCTTGCTTTGCACTGCCCAAAATCCCACAGCTGGGAATATTGAAAAAGCCTTCTGGCATTTTTGTGTTGAAGGGTGGTTAATTCTCCACATATATATTAATTATTTCACAAATAAGTGTTAAGGCCCCCAATCTCTTCTTCTTTCTTAAAACTATTTGCAAAAGGAAAATCAGAAAAGGACTTTTTTTAGTGCAGGATCTGGTTTGATAAATGGAAAGGATGCTGGAAATACCCAAAATTACAGTACTGTTCATTTGTCATGTACTCATTGCTTGGATAATCTAAGAAAGCAACAATCAGACATGCATTAAAGAACTGGGATTTACATAAATTCCAGTGTGGAACATGTCATCTGTACTCCTACACACAAAAGCTGGCTGCATTCCTCCACTGGTTCACATTTAAGCCCCAATTCAGATCTCTCCAAAGCACATGCTTCATTGTTGACATAAACAGGGGTTCCTTCCCAAAGTGGGGCCTTTGTGTGCTGAGCACTGGCCTTTGCCTCACTGACCTTCTCCAAAGCAAGACCCTGGAAAGCTGCTGTGAGAATATCTTATCCATTTATTGTATTTCCAGTGATCTCACATCTAATGGATGCAGTTAAAAAAACAGAACTATTTTCCCTCCTGAATGTATGTTTTTGCTACTGTAACAAAGAGCATCACTCACAGGTGTCTATGTCTCTTTCCAACTGGAAGTACAGAAAATAGTAATTTGCTGTTCCAAAGGACACCTCATGTGGACTAACAAGGACTTCTCATTCAAAAACAAAACAAACAAAAAAACCTGCAAAAAACTAATTCATGCCAGAGCTTCTCCACTTACCATTGCCAGATTATTGCAATAATGCAATAAATAATGTGACTAACATTAAGAATCTGAAATATAGGGCACTTTTCTCTGCAACTTTTTGGTCTTTTCAGCAGTATCAACAGCGTCCTTTCTAGATTCAGTTCCACTGTTTGCTTCACCACTTAGTTTGCTGGTTTCCTGTTGCTGCTGTGGGTATTTCTCATTGCAAACAGGAGAGAACAATGTTTTCAGAACTGGGAAAACGGAGAGTAAAGCCAACACACCAGCAGGGTGATGCAGGGGCAGATGTCATGATACTTCTTGCTCAGTGTGACTTGGGATTTCTAGCAATCTCTACCGAGTAATACTTTGAGGATGTGAAAAGGTGGAAAGGTGGAAAGTTGAAAACGTGAAAAGGTGTGAGATTTATGCTGTTGTAACAAACACTCTGAGTGTTTAGTGAAAAAGGGGATTTTCAAAAAGCTGGGAGGACCTGCCTGCACTACACAGAGCTGCAGGAGCCAAGCAAGGATTCCCTGCCTGAGTGGCTGATCCATGGGAGCCGCTCTGGGGGCTGCAGAGCCGTTCCTCGGGGGCCTGGCTCCCCTTGGCGCGCTGGCCGTGGCCGCGCCTGCCAACAGACCCGACGGAACTCCGCCATGAGCCCGCAGTGTCACTGCATCACCCCATTGTTGCTACACACGCACAGCACTCACTGGGGAACAAAAAGCTGAATGAAATGGAGCAGCTGCCAACTCAGGCAAAGACAACTTAGGAAACTATCTCATTCTTCCTTTCTCTGGGAGGCTATTTCGCCTGTTGTTTCCTTGCATACAAAATGCAGTCTGCAACAAATAAGGCACGATAAGATACAGCGAGTCCTGTTTCTTGCTTCCAAAACCACAGGCCCTAGACACTACAAAAGAGAGGATAAATGGTGTATGTGCTCTAGGGACAATGTTCAAATGCGATCCATTCAAGATAGATTTCATTTTTTTTTACTACAGCTCTGAATTCTTGAGCATAGTGGCTCTTCACTTCCATTTCTGTGCAGAAATCTGCAGATCTTTAT